TTTTGGTTTTATGAGGGTTCTGAAGACCATGATTTAGACTTGTAGAATGAATTAAAACCTCGATAAAACTTGCAATGTTACTAGGGCAGCGTAGTCAAAATTTGTCGAATATACAAACAATTTCCCACTCAATTCCCCGATGATACGTTAATAGACTTCTTCAAAATTTCCTTCACAGGTGGCTTAATATTTATTTGCGTCCCACCTGAAGTTCCATGTCTCCCGGTTTGTTTTTGATTTTCATGATCACAGGATCCAACCAGTTTGTACCATAGGTAGCTTTTGACCAACCGTCAGTCGCCGGAGGCAACCCGCTGTAGCTGTTTTGACTGCCGTATAGACAAGACCCTCTCGACCGGCCATGGTGTGGATGAACTTGATTGAAGTCAAGCCCCACTAAAAGCTGTTCTGGATGAAATCACGAGCCACAGGGATTTTTGCTGTGAATCGGATTGAGCTTCGCTAGATTTAAAGTGATCCACGGTTCAGAGAATGCTTACAGATTTTTTTTCGATCGATCCTCGAAACCGGTTTGTCGTTCTTAAAATCTTGATTGAATCGTTGTTTTACCAGTTTTGTGTATGACAACAAATACTCTCACTAGCTTTACTTTTGAGTAAACAAAGTATTCAACCGAGTAGTCAACCTTAGCTACGATTTGCAAAACGTCTACACATTTAGCAGTGATACCGTTTTATATTATATTGTTTGTGTCCTACTTGTCAAAATGTGCTCTGTCGTGCAGAGTTGATGACCCCTTGATTCAGGTATACCAACAATCAATACGAAACTAACGATTTTAAATTGGCTCACTACTTGACTAGTCTATTGGTCCCAAGCAAACGATTAACGTACCCCATTCTAGTTTAAATTCTAGTAATACACAATGTTTGTTTTGATTCGCTATGAAAGTTTGACAGATAAAATGAGGGGTAAGCGGATTTTCCTATGTTTCGAGGGGTGAATCGATTAGCTTGGGACCGAAGATAGTACCAGAGCTGAGCCAAAAAGTTGACCTCGTTTCTTCGGGACCTTCTAGTCTTAGAGTTACCTCTATGGGTATACCTTGATGTAACGTAACTGTCACTTTTGACTTCCATCACTGATTGCTAGCTAACAACCATTAAATCAAGCAATGTATTAACACAGGGCTGGTAGTGCTGATGCGATATAATAGTAGTGACTTTAGTGACTAAAATTACGGAAATAGTGACCAAATAGTGACTTGTCCAAACTAAATAAGTAATCATTTATATGGTAACTTAGAAATTCAATTACGGTTTGATATTGAAATAAACTTTTTATGTCATGGAACTTAAAATCAAATTTCATAAATTCCTCTAATTCACTCGAATCTCACAACGGAATCTCCTGTGAAGAGCATTTTAAGTGATTTGAATAATTTACTTTTGCTTACGTTATATATGACGACTAGCAAATAGTAATTCCCATTTTTTTATGATCTTGCGTTTCTTTAAAATTGTGATATATCTATGTAAGTAGATGAATTTGATAATTCGCTGAGAACTTTTCACAGGATTTCTTCAAAATGATCTCAAGAACTTTTTTCGAATAATTTCCTTCTCTTGAAATAAGAGGCAAATAAGCTTTTATAAAAATAATACTGCATTCTTGCAATTGTTTGCAGAACAATCATCAAAATTCTTGGAAATATATTATTTTCGTAGTTGGAAATGCTTAACATCAAATATCAGAATTAAAGTGGACATTTTATATGATAGATGAGGAGATGAAATAAAACGTTGATAGTCCCGTTGATAGTACGGCAGTGTAAAATTTGTATTTAGGAAGTAGAAAGCGAACAAAGGACAATTTTGAAGAAGGTACGAATCGGGTAGAGCGTCTCCTTTGCCAAGCTCATCCGTTAATGAGCAATGGTGAGGGGTATTTCTCCCTGCCACCACTGGCAAAAGGGATGATCGCCGATTTGCTCATGTACCTCCGATGTTCGGAAACAGTTATATCGATTATTTCACACTCAAGTACCTTCGTACCTTCCTCAAAATTGTCTTTTGCTCGCTTTCTACTTTGTATATACTATTTTCACACTGCCGTACTATAACGGAACTATCAACTCTATAATTTAATCTCCTCATTTATCGTATAAAATCTCCACTTTAAGTCTGATATTTGACGTTAAGCATATCCAATTATGTATATCGTTAAATTCACGCATGAAGTAATAACACATGATTAGTTAAAGAAGATCATTTTCGATTTTGTTTTGATTCTTCTAGGAACTCCCTGAAGGCTCTTTCAATAAATCCATTTTAAATTTATGTGAATTCACCTTAGAATTTCCATGCAGAATTTTCAGAAATTTCTTCTTAGAATATGGGGGACTTCTTTCCTGCATTCAATTGGAAATTCAATTCATATTCTTCTTAGAATTCCCATAGTATTTCCTCAGAATTCTCAAAACATAAATCCGTCACAGAATAACTTTGAAACACTTCTCAAAATTCCTTTGAGATTGAACCTTCAAAATTCGAGTCCATTGGAATTCTCGGAATTTATTTCGATAAAGAGTTCGGAATTTCGAATTCTCTTGGAATTTCAGAATTAATTTTGAATTGAGGGGGTTTGAAGGAAAGGGGTGTAAGTGACTTTGATCGATTCTCTTCATCGAATTTCTCTTTCGTTAATAAATCAGCTGCAAACACATTCCTTGATTCGCGTGCCATTCTGGATGTTAGATGAGGACCTCCTTTATCAAACTATGTGGCAGAAATAACGCAAAATCTGTTTATAATAATAATAATATAGTAATAGATCAAAGTCACCTACACCCCTTTCCTTCTAACCTCCTCAATTCTTATTAGAATCGGACCTAGAATCCTTATCCAAACTTCATAGAATTCTTCTTAGAACTCTCGTTAAATGCAATCTCAATTATATTGGAATTATTTCCAAAATTGTTTCGGAGCTGAACTTTGCGTCTCTAATAATGTAAACAATAATGTCGCTTTTGATTATTGTTTAAATTATCAGAGACGCTCGTACATGTATATGTTAAGCCAAGTTTAACTATACATATAGGTAAACGTAGCTTAAGATTTAAGCGGAGATGAAGAAATCCGTCCTCAAAGCAATTTATTTTCACGAGACTTTCGTAGTCTGAACTTTGGTATTCTCCTCTGATATATCTTGGTGTCATCCCTAGAATCCTGTAAAATTCTCTTAAAATTTACTTTGGATTTTCTAAATTTCTTAATCATCCATTGAAAATCTATCATTGACAAATACCTTTGGAAAGAGTTCGTTGGAAATGCTAACATGAAGCTTTAGTGTGATGATTTATTAGTTAGAGAATGATCTTTAAAGAGAGTAGGTGAATAGTTCCGTTAGAGTACGGCAGTATGAAAATTGAATAGAAGTTGAAAATGAGCGAAGGGCCATTAATGCGACAGTTTTTTGAAGATAGACGCACATCTTTTGCCTAACCCGTACGATGTACGCGGAGACTTGAAGTATGTCTCCAAGTCAACTGCCGTACTCTAACGGAACTATCCACCTACCCTCTTCTAAAGATCATTCTCTAGCTAATAAATCATCACACTAAAGCTTCATGTTAGCATTTCCAACCAACTCTGAAAATCGCAAACTTCGCGTATGAAGTAACATAAAAACACTTTGAATGGACCTTTGGAAAGTTTTCAAGGTTTAAAATTTATTTTCGGGGAAAGGAGGTATATTTTCTCCGATTTTCAATCGAAATTGAAGGCATTTCCGAATAGTTTTCCTGGTGCTCTAAAGTTTTGCGGTTCACTTTCCACACTGGTTAAAATTTTAAATTTTTTAACGGATATGTATATTTTGTTAAAACTACTGTAGACTTTCTAAGCGCCAAGTACTCAGTTTAAACATTTTGTTGATATTTTTAAATTTCACTCTATTTTAGTAGTGAAAAAGTGACTTTAGTGACTATTTTTTTTTTTGACTATTTTTAATGGAATAATTGAACTATTATTGGTGAGATATCGGCGGTGGAAGTCAAAAGTAACAGTTACTTTATATTGAGGTATACCTGTATTGTTAGACAAATATGATCTCGGCACTGCTATTTATCACCACACTTTAACTACTCTTGCAGGGTAATAGACGAAGTATTGGCTGCAGGAGAGATCCGAGCAAAGTCACCCTATAGGACGACTTGGGATACGATTATCTAGTCCGATGGATTTATTAAATTCATCCTGAAGTGAAGATCAGCGACTGTCAACAAAGTGCGAAACCTTAGCAACTATTGGAAAATCGTCAGCAAAAAACAGTGATGCCGTTTAATAATATATTCTGTGCCATTCTTGTCATTCTTTGTGAGTGCCAAGTAGTGTGCCGTGATGTGTTTCGGCACAGTGTGCAGAATTGATTACCCCTTAACATCTAGAAAATTGTCTCATGAGCCAAACATTTCCTTTAGAATCAATTCTCGTCCCAAATTTAGTTGCAGAATCCTTCTGAAATAAATTTGAGATTCTCTCTGGGAACCCCTTGAAATTTTCTTCATACCAATCTAGAAATTCTTTGCAGAGCACTCGAAAAAAAATCATGAAATTCGTCCTTAGATTCTTTCAGATTTTTTATTCTCTTTTAGAATTCACTGAAACTTCTTTCCAGTTATTTTAATTCGCTTGAATTCTCCTTTGAATGTTCATGCAATTCCCCTCAGAATTGTGAACAAAACGTGAACAATTTGCCCCCGGTTAACGGTACGTGTTTTTAAGGATCAGTCATATTGTTTTGAATCTCACTTATATTTCCACACTTTCCTCAGAATTTGGCAAGCCCTCGTGTTTAACAAAAAAAACATACATTCCCCTTCTTAAATTCTAAATGAGGTGGACTTGCAGCTAGACAACACAAGGACCATGCTGCTTACGAATTGAAAAAAAGGGGTTCGCATCAATCGAGACATGATCGCTCGCTTACGATTCCATTTTCTCAACCCTTTTTAATATTGCAAACAAAAACACACATACCTATCGACTGGAATGAGTTTCCGTTTTAAAACACGAATGATATATCCTTGTGTACGAAATCACTGTTTCTGTGACCACTTTTCCCCCTACAGAACACTATTGTTCTTCTCCGGAAATCCCGTTTTTCTTTCGGCTACCACCTTCTTCTCTTCCAGTACGTCTGCTAGAACTCCACTTTCAGTACACTGACTGGTCTTAATAAGTTATCACAAAATTCTTCAATTTGCACAAATAACTATTCACTGGAACTTAATCCTCACTTAGATTCTTAGACAAACAATCCGTCTGTTGGAATCACACGCGATCACATTCGCGCGCGTGCTATAAAAGAACTTCGCGCCAAACGACCGCCGTGTGGTCGTCGTTGCTGTTTACTCTGCGAGCGACCGTATTCGAATGGATGGCGTTGCTCCATAGAACCTCAACGGTAGGCCTTTCCGTCGTCCGTCTTCCTCGTGTGCAACGCAAAGGCTATTTAGAATGAATGAACTTCCTATACTCGGTTTCGCGCGTTCGACCGATTCGAGCAGTCTCGGGTAGATGGTTGAAGACTGTCGCTGCTGGATGGATGGGGAGGTAGGTGCTCAATTTGCGTTGGTTCATTCGATGGTGACGACAGCTATGGTTATCAGTGTTGGCCGATTATTTAGGTGGGTAGGCGGTAGGAATGTGAAGTTGACGCCGGCTCGGTCCAACTCACGTGCCGGTCGATGTTGTTTGGCTTTTTGTGCAGTTCACTGAGAGTTGGGAGCAAGAGAGTGAGATATGGCACGAGTAGGAGAATGATTTACCACCGGTGGCCACACTACAGTACAATGTGGAATATTTGAAGATGGCGAGCTCGTTCGAGCAGTTTAAAGTTTCGTTTGTTGTGCTTTAATTTATTAACGACTATCCTAATGCGTATGCTTATAATGAATATACATTTGTGCAAGAGATGCAATATGGAAATCACAGAAATTCGTAGGTCAACAATCATGATGTAGGAATTGTAATTTTTCCATTATATTTTTTTGAAAAAAAAATCGGCAAAAAAAGTTTGGCCCTTCTCAAATGATAGTCTAGATAAATGTTGGAAAAACTAAGGTGCTTATTTAGTCAACATCTATACATCCAGAAAAATTTATTGAAATCTGAGATTGTGCTGGCAGCTCCGATGTGAAATGGAGTGATATGCGTAAATTGTAAATTGAAATTAGAATTCGGAAATTAAAATGTAGTAGTGAAAAGAAGTAATGAAACAAAAATGAAGTATGAAAAGAAGTAATGAAATGAAGTAATGAAATGAAGTAATGAAATGAAGTAATGAAATTAAGTAATGAAATGAAGTAATGAAATAAAGTAATGAAATGAAGTAATGAAATGAAGTAATGAAATTAAGTAATGAAATGAAGTAATGAAATGAAGTAATGAAATGAAGTAATGAAATGAAGTAATGAAATGAAGTAATGAAATGAAATAATAAAATGAAGTAATGAAATGAAGTAATGAAATGAAGTAATGAAATGAGGTAATGAAATGAAGTAATGAAATGAAGTAATGAAATGAAGTAATGAAATGAGGTAATAAAATGAAGTAATGAAATAAAGTAATGAAATGAAGTAATGAAATGAAGTAATGAAATTAAGTAATGAAATGAAGTAATGAAATGAAGTAAGGAAATAAAGTAATGAAATGAAGTAATGAAATGAAGTAATGAAATGAAGTAATGAAATGAAGTAATGAAATGAAGTAATGAAATGAAGTAATGAAATTAAGTAATGAAATGAAGTAATGAAATGAAGTAAGGAAATAAAGTAATGAAATGAAGTAATGAAATGAAGTAATGAAATGAAGTAATGAAATTAAGTAATGAAATGAAGTAATGAAATGAGGTAATGAAATGAAGTAATGAAATGAAGTAATGAAATGAGGTAATGAAATGAGGTAATGAAATGAAATAATAAAATGAAGTAATGAAATGAAGTAATGAAATGAAGTAATGAAATGAGGTAATGAAATGAAGTAATGAAATGAAGTAATGAAATGAAGTAATGAAATGAGGTAATAAAATGAAGTAAGGAAATGAAGTAATGAAATTAAAAATCTGAAATTTAAAATTATAAATTGTAAATAAGCAATTGGAAATTGGACATTGGAAATTATCAAAAGGTAATCGGAAATTGGAAACCGAAAAAAAAAGGAAATTGTAGCTTGTAAATTGGAAATTGAAAGCCAGATATTGGAAAACACAAAAATTGGAATTGAAAATTGGAATTGGAAATTGGCACTGACTTGACCCTGGAAATTGGAATTGGAAATTGGAATTGGAATTGGAAATTGGAATTGGAAATTGGAATTGGAAATTGGAATTGGAAATTGGAATTGGAAATTGGAATTGGAAATTGGAATTGGAAATTGGAATTGGAAATTGGAATTGGAAATTGGAATTGGAAATTGGAATTGGAAATTGGAATTGGAAATTGGAATTGGAAATTGGAATTGGAAATTGGAATTGGAAATTGGAATTGGAAATTGGAATTGGAAATTGGAATTGGAAATTGGAATTGGAAATTGGAATTGGAAATTGGAATTGGAAATTGGAATTGGAAATTGGAATTGGAAATTGGAATTGGAAATTGGAATTGTAAATTGGAATTGTAAATTGGAATTGGAAATTGGAATTGGAAATTGGAATTGGAAATTGGAATTAGAAATTGGAATTGGAAATTGGAATTGGAAATTGGAATTGGAAATTGGAATTGGAAATTGGAATTGGAAATTGGAATTGGAAATTGGAATTGGAAATTGGAATTGGAAATTGGAATTGGAAATTGGAATTGGAAATTGGAATTGGAAATTGGACATTAGACATTGGAAATTGAACATTGGAATTTGGACATTGTAATTTGGACATTTGAATTTAGACATTGGAATTTGGACATTGAAATTTGGAAAAAGGAAATTCAAAATTGGAAATCTGAAATTGGACATTGGAAATTGGACATTGGAAATTGGACATTCGATATTGGAAATCGGAAATTGGTAATCTAAAATTGGACATTGGAAATTGGAAATTGGATATTGAAAATAGGACATTGGAAATTGAAATTAAGAGGAAATTGGAAATCTTAAATTGAAAATTGAAAATTTGAAATTATAAATTGGAAATAAGAAATTATCCACTGGAAATTGTAAAATGGAATTTGGAAATTGAAAATTATCAAATGGAATGGAAATTGAAAAATCCAAATCGAAAATAGGAAATTAAAGATTGTAAATTGGAAATTGGAAATCACAAAAAGGAAACTAGAAATTGGATATTGGAAAATGGAAAATTGAATTTGGAAATTGAAAATTATCAAATGGATTGGAAATTCAAAATCCAAATCGAAAATAGGAAATCAAAGATTGTAAATTGGAAATTGGATATCACAAAAAGGAAATTGGAAATTGGAAATTGGAAATTGGAAATCGGAAATTGGTAATCGGAAATTGGAAATTGGAAATAGGAAATAGGAAAATGGAAATCGGAAGTTGGAAATTAGAAATAAGAAATTGTTAATTGGAAAAAGGAAAAAGGAAATTGAAAATTTGAAATCTGAAATTGTAAATTGAAAATTGGAAATTGAAAATTGGAAATTGGAAATTTGAAATCGGAAACAGGAAATAAGATATTGTAATTTGGAAATGCGATGTTCGATTTCCAATTTCCTCCAATTTCCAATGCCCAATTACCAATTTCCAACTTCCAATTTCCTTTTTGTGATTTCCAATTTCCTTTTTGTGATTTGTGATTTGCAATTTCCAATTTCCTTTTTGTGATTTCCAATTTCCAATTTACAATCTTTAATTTCCTGTTTTCGATTTGGATTTTCGAATTTCCAATCCATTTGATAATTTTCAATTTCCAAATTCCATTTTCCATTTTCCATTTTCCAATATCCAATTTCTAGTTTCCTTTTTGTGACTTCCAATTTCCAATTTACAATATTTAATTTCCTATTTTCGATTTGGATTTTCGAATTTCCAATCGATTTGATAATTTTCGGATTGGAAATCCAATTGGAAATTGGAAATTGGAAATTGAAAATTGAAAATTGGAAATTGGAAATTGGAAATTGGAAATTGGAAATTGGAAATTGGAAATTGGAAATTGGAAATTGGAAATTGGAAATTGGAAATTGGAAATTGGAAATTGGAAATTGGAAATTGGAAATTGGAAATTGGAAATTGGAAATTGGAAATTGGAAATTGGAAATTGGAAATTGGAAATTGGAAATTGGAAATTGGAAATTGGAAGTTGGAAATTGGAAATTGGAAATTGGAAATTGTAAATTGGAAATTGGAAATTGGAAATTGGAAATTGGAAATTGGAAATTGGAAATTGGAAATTGGAAATTGGAAATTGGAAGTTGGAAATTGGAAATTGGAAATTGGAAATTGGAAATTGGAAATTGGAAATTGAAGAAAGAAAATTGGTTAGTCACAAAACCAATACATCATCATAACATCTAATGATTTCATAATTCCGAAAACATTTTTTGAATGTGTGAACCAAGCCTGAAAAAATAAAAATGGAAATTGGAATTTGAAATCCAGGGTAAGGAAATCAAAGAAAGGATATTGAAAATTTGATATTGTAAATTGTAAATTGGAAAGTGGAAATTGGAATTCAGAGTATGGAAATCAAAGAAAGGAAATTGGAAATTGGAAATTGGAAACAGGAAACTGGAAACTGGAAACTGGAAATTGGAAACTGGAAACTGGAAACTGGAAACTGGAAACTGGAAACTGGAAACTGGTAAATGGAAACTGGAAACTGGAAACTGAAAACTGGAAACTGGAAACTGGAAACTGGAAACTGGAAACTGGAAACTGGAAACTGGAAACTGGAAACTGGAAACTGGAAACTGGAAACTGGAAACTGGAAACTGGAAACTGGAAACTGGAAACTGGAAACTGGAAACTGGAAACTGGAAACTGGAAACTGGAAACTGGAAACTGGAAACTGGAAACTGGAAACTGGAAACTGGAAACTGGAAACTGGAAACTGGAAACTGGAAACTGAAAACTGGAAACTGGAAACTGGAAACTGGAAACTGGAAACTGGAAACTGGAAATAGGAAATAGGAAATAGGGAGAAATAGGAGAAATAGGAAATAGGAAATAGGAAATAGGAAATAGGAAATAGGAAATAGGAAATAGGAAATAGGAAATAGGAAATAGGAAATAGGAAATAGGAAATAGGAAATAGGAAATAGGAAATAGGAAATAGGAAATAGGAAATAGGAAATAGGAAATAGGAAATAGGAAATAGGAAATAGGAAATAGGAAATAGGAAATAGGAAATAGGAAATAGGAAATAGGAAATAGGAAATAGGAAATAGGAAATAGGA